ATGACACTGGAGCTGAAAGCTAGGCAATTATCTTCTGATTCTTAATATATTAAGATCATAGTTACTAACCAAGAACAATTAAAAATAAACTATTATTTTTGATGAAATATCTTTGGTCTATACTTTTATGAATAATAACAAAGGAGAGAAAGAAATTAAGATCAAAGGAAACAAGTGGCTATTTAGGTAGGCTGAAGCATACTGCTTATAAGATATAGCAAACATTTTAATATTTCTTTATATACATCAGTCCCAAAGTGCACAGCAGAAAGAGCAAACTAGATCCTGAGGCATTTGGTTTTTCTTAAGACTCTAACAGTCAGTTCCACTATTGGAAAATTTCAAGCATGTTACTCACCTCTGAAAATCATTTTACTTCCTATTTTGGAGCAAGTATTTACTTACCAAGCTTTTCTTTTAACTATGTATGAGCAACGCCAGATGTCTGAAGTGGTAATATCTGAAATTATCCTATATATGAATTTGGATTGAGTACTGTTGGGCTGATGTGCAGGAACATGTCTCTTAGTCATGTTCCATGTCTTTAGTCAGAGGTTGCCAACTTTGTAAAGAACACGGCAGGCTTTGTAGAGCAGATGGTCTCTGCCTCAACTACTCCTACTCTGCTACTATAATGCAGAAACCAATTCAGACAGTATATATAAATGTATTCCAATAAAACTTTATTTGTGGACATGGAATTTACATCCTACAGTTTTCATGTGTTATGAGGAGTTTTCTACAATCTGAAACATAAAAAACAATCTTAACAATTTCTAAAATAAGAGGCAGGAGAACTAATTTTTTTGTTTTTGTTTTAAGACAAGATCTCAACGTCCCAAGCTGGTTTCAAGTGCACATGTGGCAAAGAATGACCCTAAACCTCTGACCCTCCTACCTCCACCTTCCAGGTACTGAGATTACAGCCAGTGCTACCACACCCAGTTTTGGGACGTGTTGGGGACTGAACCCAGGGCTGTGCATGTAGACAAGCTCTCTACAAACATACCTGGCTGGAAGTTGCTATGTAACCCATGCTGGCTTGAAACTTCCAGCCTTCCTGCCTCCCCACCCAGTCGTGCTGGTTAGATTTGTCAACTTGAAGTAACCTAGAGCCATCTGGGAAGAAGGAACTTCAGCTGAGAAAATACCTCCATCAGATTGAAAAGCCTAGGGAATATCTTTTTTGATCAATGATTGATGTGGGAGGGCCCAGGCAATGCCAAACCTGGGCAGATGATCTTGGGTGGTATAAGAAAACAAATGAAAAAAACTATGGGAAGCAAGCTAGCAGTGTTCCTTCATGGTCTTTGCTTCAGTTTCTGCATTCAGGTTCCTGCCTTGAGTTCCTGTTCCTGACTTCCTTTCATGATGGACTGTGGCCCGTAAAAGCGACTCTTTCCTTCCTGTGCTGCTTTTGGTCATGGTGTTTAACAAAGCAACAGAAAGCAAAGAGTCCATCAGCTGCACAAGTGATCTATAAAGATGCAAAAGCAATTCAGTGGGAGATTTTCAATTAAAGATGTTACAGTGACTCTATCTAAAGAACACCTCCCATTCAAAAAAAGAACATAATCTCACACCTGTATAAAATCAACTCAAATGGACCACAAATTTAAACACAGAAAATTAAATTATAAAGCTTGCAAGCGGAGAATGACACCCAAAAATGATTCATTAGTCAATAAAACATTGCTGACTTTGTTGTGTAAAATATCTTTGTTAAACTGAGGGAAAAGCAAGCAACAGACTACAAACTAAACAGTGGATACCTGTAATATACAAATAATTCTCAATAAAAAATTCTTAAAATATTTTTAAAAGCACTGACTAAAAAATTGGCACAAACAAAACAAACAAACAAAAACCACATGACCTAATAAGAACATTCCTCAAAGAAATGAAAATTTGCTTCCAAACAAAACTCTGAACAGGAAGCTTTATTTCTAATAGCCCCAAACTAGACACCAAAATGTCCGTAGATCCAAGAATCACCCTTGTTGATAATATTATCCAATAATGATGGGGTGAGGGCCACTGACATATATACCATATGGATGACCTCAGAGACACCATGCTGAGTTTAATAATAATAAGCTAGCTTCAAAAGACCCCATTTTCATAAAATTTCAAATGACAAAACTATAAAGATAGAGAACAGACTAGTGGTTGTTACTGATTAAAAACAGAAAAGCGGGCAAGGAGACCATACCTGATGCTATGAAGGGAAAGCCCAAGAGAGATATTTCTGGAGTTTTGTGCCTTATTTTACAGTGGTGGTTATTCTAAACTACATGTGATAAGATGGCATAGAAACACACACACACACACACACACACACACACATCAATTTCCTAGTGTGGGTATTATACAATAGTTACATAAGATATAACCACTGAAATAAACTGTGCTATTTGTGTGTGTGTGTGAATCTATAATTATTTCAAAGCAAATTGAAAGTTCCTAATAATTTTAGCATAAGCAAAGGATGAGATTCCTCTGTAAACAACAATCTACTTACTTTATTAGAGGTGTTTACAGGACCAAGTATAGTAAAATTAAAGCCAGTTTTAATTGCCCACAGTGTCCCCACTGAATCCCTACAACAACCATATGAATGAAATACCACAACCCTAGTTCACAAATAGGAAAAGTAGGGTTAAAAGAGATTAATTTGATCTGATCATACAGTAAGCACTAGAACCAAAATTTACTTCCAGAGCCGTGCATCCTGAACCCGAGGATAAACAAAAATAAACAAACGGAGAGATTTTTACAAGTATTAGTCCAACTATACAAAAAGCTTAAAATAAACAACATTAAGCTGGTGTGATTTTTGCACAGTGCACTCCAGCTATTCAGACTATGACACTACAGGCTTCCTCAAATATACCTGACCAGAGGGTCCTGTTTTCCCAGAATATATATAGTTTGCGCATGCAATCCAATTATCTGGAAACCAGAAGTGAAAAGTGTTCAAATGGCTTGGTTTTAACCCATTTCTCTTTCAAAAAAGAGCAAAAAGCTGTGCTGTCCAATGTAATAGCCATGAGCTATATGTAACATGTTATAAATTAGAATAAAATAAAATTTAAGTTTCTCAGTCACACAGCCACATACAAATCTGTTTAAGTGCCACATATGGCTACCATATTTAACAACACAGATATAGGGCATTTACATCATGTAATTCACGAAAATTCTATTCATCAGTATGAGAGACTTGTTTTTATTTGATTTTTAAAAACCTGGGGCCTATATAGTCTTCAGAGAAGCACGCTGTAAATTTGACCACCCTCCCACATAAAGGGGGACTGAGAGATCCCTGATAATTTCTGGTTAGCTTACTGACTGCTGCTAGAATGAGAACGTCAAGGCACAGGGAAAAGGCAAGCAAAGGAGTATAGAAAAGGGAAGCAAAGGAAAGCAAAGTCAGGCAGACCAGAGATGAAGCCTGAACTGGCATTTAGGATCCTGGGTTCTGTGCCAATAATTTATTATTATTGTTGTTGTTGTTGTTATTATTATTATTATTATTATTATTTAAATTCTGTCTTTGGTAATGAGACTTGATGTAGATGAAGTCTCTTCACTATTATGGATTATTATTATTTAAATTCTGTCTTTGGTAATGAGACTTGATGTAGATGAAGTCTCTTCACTATTCTGGACCCTAGTATTCTCTCCTACCACAAATTTAAAGGAAATGATTACTCAAAATTCCCTGTAGCTGTGTATGGACACAAACCAGAGAGAGTGGGGAATAAAGGCAAAAATATAAGCTACTCCAATATGCAAAATTGGAAATTGACACACCAGTCAGCTTGCCACAGTTCTACTCCTGAGAATGGTATCTGTGTATCACCAAAGAAAAAAAGATGCAGTTCCATCCAATGAAAATTTGCACCTAAACACACACACAGGCGTACACCCACACACACACAAACTGGTTAGCACTAAGACCAAATATGTGGGAAGAATGCAGGAAACTCGAAATTTTAGATTCAAAGCCTGGTTCACTACCACGTAATCGCTGAAATGGCCCAGTACTCAAACACATATTAGTGTGTTAGTATGCTACTGAGATTACGAATATTACAAGTTATAAACATCATATACAAAGTATAATACAGCATAACCAAAAGTATACCTCATTTCTTCCACAAAGAATGAAAAAAATGCTGCAAGTACCTGACAGTAGAAGACATCAATTTTGGCCGGCCTAATTTCTCTCAAAATCACACTTAATGAGTCCTATTTTTTCTATGTGAAATACCTTTAAGGACTGCTGGAATTGCAGAGATTCTCAAATAGTGCTCTGGCAGGATGACGAGAACTAGAATCTGCATCTACATCCTATTGCGCCCTTCCTTCTCTTCAGAGATATGGCTGGTCTACTTCCTTGGATTCAAAGCGTGATTAAAACCTTCCTCGAGCCAACCCTATACCATACTAAGACTTAACAGGGCTAATATATATTTTTAAAAAAATTACTTCGTCTAGCTGAAAAAGAAGCACCATAAATGATTTTTTTTTTTAACCTCGCTGAAGCGAAGGCAACCAGTGAGTTGTGTAACCTCTTGGAGAATTCAAACTCAGAGCCCAGAGTCAAACGTGAATATTTTGGTGCGGAGAATAAGAAAAACTAAAGCCTTCCAAGAAAGAGAACAAGAAGGGACTTTCAGTGACAAGCCTTTACTTCAGAAAGGCAGGGTTTAGTACCGCACCTACTAATCCAATGCCCAGCACCGCGCGGCGCGGAAACCCTACCGAATTTGAAAATAAACGTTGCAAAGGCTCCGGGGGACTGCAAAGAGGGATGGAAACTGACAGCTCGGCCTCAGAGAGAAGGCTCAAGTAGGTCAAACTGTGGCAACCGTCTTCAATCCGGAGTCCACTTCAGTGGGCTCAGGGGAATAGAGCGGCGTCTCTCAGTCCTAAAGGGGCGGGATATGGGCACTGAGACCTAGAGCTCAAGCCGGCGGTTCGCCTCTTCTCACCTCTCTTAGGGGCCTTGATCAGAGGCACCCCTCCGCTCCTCTCGCCGTTTTCCTGCTTGTCCTTGTGCTTGAGATCGCCCGGAACGCAGGCGCCGGGATCACCATCGGAGCCGCGGTGGTGATGGTGCTTGTGCCGCTCCTTGTGGCCCTTATGCTTGGGCCCGGCCGCGCTCACCGTCAGGGGCGAGAAGGTGAAGAGGGCCGAGGTGCCCGGGGCCGGGAGCGGGGCAGCGACGGCGGGCCCGGCGGGCGCCAGCGACGGTGGCGGCGGAGGCGGCAGGAGCAGAGGCTCAACAGGGCCCGGGACGGTTGGGGCGGCATTCGTTGGAGGCAGCGGCCCGGGATGTTGGCGGCTGCGACGCCGCCGATGAGGGGGAGCGAGAGGGGGGTCCTGGCTCGGCCGCCCCCGCTTCTCCTGAGAACCCCCGCTGCTCGCCCGGCGCTGCCGCTTCACTCCCCGCTGCGAGACCCCAACATGGGGTTTCTCCTTCCCTTCTTTGTCCGTCTCCTCCTGCGCCGCCACCGCCCGTACTACGCGAACCGCTCCGACCTGCGCAGCCATTTCACCCACAAACACACATTTAAATGGCCCGACCGCCCCCCCGTCCGCGATTCGCGCAAGCGCCACCCGCGCAGGGCCCGCTGGGCATTGGAGTCTCTCCCCCGCCCTCCACCGCTCCGTCCTTCTCGTAGAGCTGAACATGCCGGAAACGGCAGTTCCGACCCCTCTCCGCAGACCTCGCCAACCGAGCTGCTATTGTAAAGCGCCCTGGACGCGCAAGGCCTTGCGGGAGTTGTAGTTCCAACACCCGCCGCGACTTTCTCCCCGCGCCTCTCCAGCACTGTGAGTGGAGGAACCGAGGAGGAGCGTGCGCCCAGGCACGCTTCGGGGTACGACGCAACTGCCGTCGGCCGCCGAGTTGCCGCCAACCGCCCTAACGGCTAAACAATGTTAATACTTTCGGAGTCTGGCACTGTGTTCCGGCGCTGCTCTTGCAGAGTTCCTTCTTCGCCTTACCCGGAGGTGGTCTCCATAGTGACTTTTCAATTTCGTATTTCTCCTTAACCTTTGTGAGGTAAAAGAATCTCCGGCCTTTACCCTTTCAAACGACGAAAAAAAGAATTTCAGAATATGTAAAATGACGTTTTTGCTGCAAAGTATAGTAGGACTGCTGTTCACGAAAAAAAAAAGAAAATTGAAGTGTGTTCAATGACATTGCTGTAGTAACAGCTACAGGCTCAAGGCAGGTGCAAACACTGCCTTTAGGAGTCTCCTGAGCGCAGACTCACGTCTACTCATGCTTGGGAACTTAGAATCCAGCATTCGTGTTGAGCATATACCGAGAGTTAACGAAAATTTCTCGATAGACGTTATCTAAATGTTTTGTTTTCTAAATAAATATAAACTTGCAAATAGGAAAAGCATTGTCAGCCTGACAACACTTTCAAAATCGTCACTGTTGGCCAGATGTTGTTTACTCGCAAATCCATTTTAAGCTTCATTTCTTTAGCTTTTGCCTAGAATTGTTCTAATACACTTAAGTCCTTAAGATATTTGGAAATAATTGGCTACAATGATGTATCAGGCATATAAAAAGCACTGTGGTTTGTCCTCCCTAGTCCCCACAGAAGTAACTTGGGCTGGATGAACTTCTGCAGGAAAAGGTACGGTTTAAAATAGAGTTCTTGAACACCTGCTGGGGATGCGTTGTACTACAATAAGCAGGCAACAATACCATTCAGTTTGCCCTAGCACTGGGTTTCCTAACGAAAAGCGCTAAAGCACTGTTGCTACGTTGTACTTTCTCAAGTAAAAAATTAAACTGATAGGAATATTAAAGCGAATGCTTTAAAATAATAAAAATCCATTAACTTATTTACTGTGTGAAACTAGGTTTGAAATATAATTTATTTAGGAAACTCCATAGTCATACAGAAGTACATTTTTTTAAAATTACCAGGACCTTTAAATGGTTGTGAACATAAATTGCACATGTTCATATTGCACCTTTTCTATGAAGAAAACACTATCAAATTATAAAATTAAAAATAATTTTAAAGTGCTAACAAAAAGTAAGGTTGATTATTTTTCTAGGATTGGTAACTAATTAAAACTTATGCGGAGGGGAGGGGCATAGGAGAAGAAGAGGGAAGGTGAGATTGGGAATGAGGGAGGGGGCTACAGCTGGGATACAAAGTGAACAAACTGTAGCTAATAAAAAAATGGGGGAAAAACTTATGTGGAATATAGCTGAACATCTTGTTATAGCAACACAAAAATGATCACTTCCATGATTTACACATCATTCTCTTTAATCTTTTTCCTGCTTTTACACAGCATTTGGGAAGATGGAGGAGGTGTATTCCACTTAGACAAAAATAACATCCCAGGAAGAATAGTCACTGTCTCAAGCAGTAATTTTGTACTGCAAACACAAAGGGGTTTTTGCTTCGTTTTGTTTTTTAAGTTAAACCTTTAGGCAGCCATGACGGAGCACACCTGCAACATCAGCATTTTCAGGATCATCAGGATCATCAGTGCAGCCTGGGGCTGCATAGCGAGACCTGTCTAATTTTTTTTTTTAAGTTATTTTTACTACTAAGGCGATGTATGAATTTAGTTGAAGGGCTGGAGAGATGGCTCAGATGGCTAAGAATACTTACTGCTTTTGCAGAGGACCCTGATTCAGTTCCCAGAACTCACATAGCAACTCAACCTGTAATCCCAATTCAAAGGGATCCAACTCCCTCTTCTGGCCTCAGTGGGCACTACACATAGATGCCATACATCCATGGATGCAGGAGCAAACACTTGCACACATAGAAATATTTTAAAGAAAATTTAGTTGAGATCAAATTCTTACAAGCCTCTTAAAATTAATGTTTATGCTGGTTTTGTGTGTCTTTAATTCCTAGCCCTCTGGAGGCAATGGCAGGGGCATCACTTCAAAGATTCAAGACTAACACAGAAAGACATCATCTCAAAACAAAAATTTACATTTACATAGAAAGCAAAATAAAGTAACTTCCAAAAATGAAAAATAAATCCATTTTGAAACGTAAACCCAAGTAACAAACTTTATTGGCAGTTCCCAATTAAATGTCAAGAATATGAAAATACAATGTTGCTAGAAGTTTTTCACATTGCTTTCCTTTTAAAAGCCATTGACAACATATCTTCATTATTGATATTATTATAGCAGTATTCTAGTATTTTAATTTGGAGGCACAATTTCAAGCAATGTTCTTATAAGTACAGAGGTATATTAAATATTCCAAGTTGATGGTGGGTTTCTTGGTCCTTTGGGTTTTGAAAATCGATTTCCAAAACCTGGGGTCAAAAATAAAACTGAATGAAAACAGGTAACTTTATATAGAAACAAATATAGCATTAAAAAAGTTAATCATCCTCTTTGATTAATTTAATAATGGACTGTAAAGGCATTCTAGTAACTAAAGTTTAAATGAAAATAGAATATTGGTTTTGCTGTACTAGGGAGCGAACTAATGACATTGCACATGATGGGCAAGTATTCTGCCGCTGGGCCACACCTCCAACCCAAACAATACTAATATTTAAACATAGAGTACTCACAGGTTAACTGATGGTAATAGTTATATGAAGAACCCTGATGATAGTAGCTTTCAGTAGTTACGTACATAACACCAGTTATCTGCATTATTCACCCACCATGGAGCACCAAACAAATTTCACTTTTATAAAATTAAACACTGTTATTTATGTGGTATTATTAAATCCAGTTCTCTATCTATGCAGCCACAGAATTTCCTGAGCTTACTAAAACATCATGATTTCCTAACTTAGAAAATATGAAATAACCCTGAAAGAAATGGTTCTTAAATGAGTCATAATTACTTTTCTCCCTGAAACGCACCTCCCTTGCCCCCACAAAGAAGAGGAAGAAAATCTTGCATATAAAACAAAGGCTAACTGAGTGCTTTCAAAAAGAATTTCAGGCTGGTGACATTTTTCTTTTTCGCCAGCAATATATGTCTTTTTCTTCAATTGTGATAGATTTTCAAAGCATCTTAACACTTAGCAACATTGGTGCCTTAAATTTAAAAACAAAAGGTTTGAGAGAGGGAGAACAGAAAATGAAAAACTCAAAAATATTCGAATACTTTAATCACCTTCTCTAGTAACTGCTTATGTATGTAGCTAAATTTAAGTCTATAAACAAAACTATAGTTGGCCAGGCATGGTAGAAACCACCTGTAATCCAAACACACAGAAAGTAAAGCAAGGAGGATCACAGCTTGTGTTCAAGGCCAGCCTGGCATAACCAGCAAGAATCTCAGACACACACACACACAAACACACAGCACATCTACATGCCACGGCTGAAAGAAACCTCTCATATCTATTAACTAGTGATTTTAAATGTTGGTGGAGGTGTATAGAGCCTAGTTCACATAAATTTTACTCCTTTGATAATAAAAGAAAAATATTCACATGAAGTAGTTATACATCAAAGTCATCTCCGTCCAGGTACACTGGGGCATGAGGACGTGTTCTGTGCCTACTTAGAACCGCTACAGTTTCAGATACCTGTATCTGATCTAATTCACCAGCCAGGCTGGGATGCTTTACAGCACTTGTACACTGCTGTTTCTGCATGTGGATCAATTCTGGGAAAAGAAACCTGAACCACATGGTTTGCTTTTTTTTTTTTTTCCTTTAAACTTGCATGAGAAGGCAGAGTTTTAAAGACAGAATTTCCCTATGCAAGCCCAGCCTGGCTCTGAACGCAAGATCCTCCTGCCTCAGCCGTCCACGTGCTGGGATTACAGGCGTGTACCATCACAGGCGACTTCAATATTTTTAAATAACATTCTTAGAATTTATATTGCCACTACTAAAGGGAGCAATGAATAGTAAGTGCTTTTAAGTACATAAATTGTTAAAATCTAGGCACTGTTGAGAAGAAGCAACATGGATGCAGCTAAGATTTTCTTTCAAGGTCAGAGCAAGATCACATCAGGTGGTCCATATGTCACTCAAGTGGAGTCAGAGAAAAGAAGGAAGCAGAACACTACTATAACCAAGGCAAAGTTGTGTGTTTTTTCATAGGTCATACCATGTTCCATATGAATGTTTTTAACTAGTTTCATACAAATCTTAGCATTTTTGCTTGTTGGTTTTCTGAGACCAGGTTTCTCCGTGTAGCCTTGGCTGTCCTGGAACTCGTAGTCCAGGCTGGTCTCCAACTCAGAGAGCTGCCTGCCTCTGCCTCCCAAGTGCTGGGATTAAAGATGCGCACTAACACTGTCCAGACAGATGTTAACTTTTAAATTGCAACAATTGAAATGTTGAGTTAGTAAAATGCAAACCAACTTTTATAGCTAAAGAAACAGCATTTCTAGTAAACATTTCCTCAGCATGAGACTATAAGGACTATAAAGACAGAGACTGCTCCCTCATTTTCTGCTTCTCCCTCTGAAACAAAATTACATTTGGGCAATTGTATGTCTTTCTAGCAGCACTACATTTTCTGGTCTCTTCTACAATTTTAAAAGTTAATTTCTTTTACGTGTGTTTGTGTTTTGCCTCCATGTGTCTGTGTAGAATGTGTCTGCAGTCCCTGCAGAGGTCAGCAGGGGACATTGGCTCCTCTGGAGCTGGAGTTAGATTCATTGTGAGCCACTGTATGGGTGCTCAGACTTGAACCTGGGTCCTCTGGAAGAAAATCCAGTGTGCTTATTCACTGAGCCATCTCTCCAGCCCCGATCTATACACATTTTAAACTCTGCTATAAAATAATACACATACCAAAATTCAAAAAACAGCTGGAGTTTTTTGGCTGAACACATTCTGTAGGCTTGCTTGGACAGGAAGAATTACAAACACCTGTAGTCAGAGAAAAATATGTAAAGAATGACTAAAAAAAATAATAATAATAAAATAAAAAGAATGACATCAGATTTAGATTACTGTTTATTTGCTTGCGTGATTATTTCCTCCAGAAGATTACAACAAAATTAATATATCAGTATTGTATTAAAAGTTTTCAAAAATGGTTGGAATTATATTTTGTATTATCATTACGGTAGGGAGAGGGGAAAGGTCTCAGTTTGTAGGCCTGAACTCAATATATATGCCAGGCTGGCCTTGACTTGTACTCTTCCTGCCTCAGCATCCCAGCTACTGGGGTTACAGGCCTGAACAACCATGCCAAACAAGATTCACAAATCCACTACGTTAGACTCATATTTGGCCTTGGGGTTTATCTTTGTTCCCTGATCAGTCATAATATGTTTTCCATAACTCACATTAATTAATCTATGGCAAGCTAAGGTTTTTCTTATATTGTCCTCTATTCCTAAATCTTCTTCTTTATTTTCCAGCTACTTTGCCTCAAAGATGATTCTAAGTTAAGGCCATTGTTATATTTCTTGGTTTGCTATTGTATTTATTATGTGTAGAGTGTGTGTAATGTGTATTTACTATGTGTAATGTGTGTGTGTGTGTGTGTGTGTGTGTGTGTTCCTAACCCCCTAATATATACATATATCAGTTTCTACCCAGTTTTAAAAGGAATTCTGTAAAACTAGGTCTACCTTTGACATGTGCATGGTGTTACAGGAATAAAGATTCTCAGCTTTATATAAACTTCCTCAAAAACAGCTTATAAATAAGGAGAAATTACTGCCTACTTTTTGTTTTCAGCATGCAAAACACAATGTGAGAACTGCATATATGTATTTACACATATATATGTAATATTAGGCTTCTAAGAACATCTAGAACATTTCCTTTCTTGAGCACGAATCTCTAGAATACATAGTATATTTCAGTAATTTTTCAATTAAATGCATATGTACTAAACACTGTGTGTCAGGAACTGGGCTGGGAACTGAGGCAAGACATGAACACAGCTGCATGAAGATGGGGATGTGCAAGTATGTCAACAGTCTCCACATGTTAGCTGAGACAAGGTATTCGTCCCAAAGAGGAACACTCTTTCTTTCTCTTAAGAAAGGTAGCAAAGATTCAGCAAAAGTATATTAGAGGGAACTAATACTAGCTTGTCTCCGGTTATTTTTATGCTGCCTGCTCAACCTGTATTCTCCAGATAAAATTAAAATTTCCCTTTACATCCTCCCCAATTTTCAGTTTCCACATACCAAGTGGAACTATTTCTACTGGTATGACTAATGGTCAGGGCTGAGTTCCACTGAGGACATTGGCATAGCCACATGATATGTGTGTAGGTCTGACCTCAATACGATGTAATCAGTAGCCACATGTAACTATTTGGCTAAATATAAGACATAGTATCCTGCCTAATTGAAATGTTAAATATATTGTTAAGAACTTAAATATATTGTTAAGATTCAGGCAGGGGCAAAGGAACCAGGCCAATTTGTACTAGTCATCAGACTACTGCTTAAGCAACCAGGAAAAAGCTAATTTTTTCCATCATAAGCCTGAAACCACATGATTAAAAATATGCCTATGAGTAAGCTTATAAAATAAAACAAAACTGAGGCTAGAGAGCTGGCTCATTTGGTAAAGTGTTTGCTGAGCAAGTATGAGAAACTGAGTTCGGACCCCCAGCACCCAGGTGAAAAGCCATAGTGACAGTCATGTGCCTATAACACTAGCATGTGGGAAATGAAGGGAGTGGGATCCCTGGAGCTTACCGAGCAACTAGTCTTGCCAGTTGGTAAGCTCTTGGTTCTGTGAGAGAGCCTATCTGAGAATAGGGTAGCCTCGTGCTTGATGAAGATGTGGCACCCACCTCAGACAGCACGTGTGCATAGAGGCACGCGCGCACACACCAGAATGAGCCAGAGCTCTACAGAATGAGAGGTTAGCTACCTATTGAATTATTTGGATTCTTTTAAGACAACAATAAATGCTTCTCTTATGTTCCAGTTAGCCTAAATTGGGATTTTTGTCACTAGCAACCACAGTATTTCTGAGCAATTAAAACTTCCCATACCGCTCAGCTGGTAACGAAGTGTGCTGTGTAAATCTGAGGGCCTGAGTTTGTTCCCCAGAACTCATGTGAAGGTAGAGGGGAAAAGCCAACTTTACAAAGTCCTTTGCTCGCCATACACAAGTTGAAGCATGTGCCCCATCATACACGTGTGCACGTACACACAAACAAAATTTACTTGAAATTTGTCCCACTAAAATGAGCATCATGGTTGCCAGCTCTACTCTTGTTGCCTTTAATGCACTCTCCACACAGCCTGTGGGTTTTTATTTTATTACAATACAGCAAAATAGGAAGCAACAGACTTTTACTCCTGGTAATACTTGTAAAAGTGGAAATGTGTCAGTGCTTATTTCATTAAATCAACACATTTGTTTCACAATATGCTTTGTTGTTACAGTTTTCAAAGAAATATCTAAGGTTAGACTGCCAGGAGTTTTAAATAACATTTATTTCTAAGCATCTTGGAAAGGGTAGAAAATACCAAACACTGCACTAATTATTCTTCTGTCGTTAAACAGCAGCCCTACCTAACACTGGCCTGATGGAGCCTGGCAAAGTAAAGGCCTGGGTGAGTGCTCTGACCCACATGTCCCTTATGAAGATGTTTGGGAATGATAGGGTGATACTAAAAATTGTGTGATTTTAAGAAGTTTTAGATGAACTTACTTTTTTTCATGTTTCGGAAAATTTTCAAACTCTGTTAAGGTGAAGAAAGGGAGGAAAGTTAATGTTTCTCCTCAAAAGTTCAAAATGCTTTAGTCAACTGGAAATATAGACCTAACAGAATAATAATAACGGGATAACAATAGCATTCAGAACCGGCCAACAGCCTCTGAGGGTGACTTTGCTTTTCAGTCATATACTTTTTGTCCATGTTTATTTTATAGTTATGGATTTCTAGCAGGTCATAATATATTAGACAGACCCTCTGACTACAGTACTGGTTGCAGGTAGCTTCATCTCCAGTTTGGTCTTTGTCTTTGATTTTTAAGTTAAGTTACTTTCACTGTACAGAAAGTTTCTGTTCCATTTAACAGAATGTGTGTATCTTTTCCCCTACTGCCTCTGATTTTTACATTTACGAGGCCATTCATACCCCAGAGTTAGAAAACTATCTTAACAAAAAGTACTTTTGTAACGTGGGGGGGGGGGAGGTATTTTTATTTTTTAGGTTTTAAAAAAATTTTTAGATTGATTTATTATTGTTTTCCCTGCATGTATATCTATGCACCATGTATATGCCCAGTACCAAGGAGACCAGGAAAGGGCATCATCAGATCTTCTGGAACCAGGGATAAAGACAGTTAATATCCACCATGTAGGTGCCGGAAATTGAACTCAGGTCCTCTGGAAGAGCAGTCAGTGCTCTTAACCTCTGAGTCATTTCTCCAGTTCCTTTTTAGTAATTTCGTGTGTAGGTACACATCTTAACATTTAAATCTTTTCTCTATTTGGACTTTATTCTGATGTGGATGTTAATTATAGATCCTAATTTTTTTCTACATCATTATTTATTTAGACCAACAATTTTTTTTGAGACATGGTATCATGTATCCCAGCCTGGTCTTGAACTTCTGATCCTCCTGCCTCCACCTCCCAAATATTAGGATTTAGATATTACAGACATGCACTGCCATACCTGGGTCAAACTCCAGGCTTCAGGCATGCTTCAGGCAAGCAGTCTACTAACAGATTTGAAACCATCCAACCCTATGCCTTGGTTTGAGCATGCCATATTGTACTAAATCCCTACATATATGTATGTGTATAATTACTCTCATTCATTGCATGTATTTGCTTTCTGTTGATTTTGACTATGTGAGATCAAAACTCAGTTTAGTAAAGAGGCTTAATCTAATTTTCAATCTTAATGCTGTGGAGAGAAAATCTGTAGTAAGGGAAACTCTGGGGTGTTTTTTAAACCTCTAATCTGACCTTGCTCCTTGTGAAACTTTTCCCAGGGGTCTTCAGTGTTTGCTTAGAAGATGTTGCACTCTCTGTGGTCTCAGGAGAGCTAGCAGAGTGAGCTTCCATGGGTTGGACCTGCATACCTTAACAAAAAAGAAAAAGGAAAGAAAAAATATTTTGTTGTATAGTTTCTTAAGCCTATGATTTAAATAGTGTATAGTCAGGCATGGCCTATACATTTGGCCTTCAAGTATCATTTTCAGTATATGTTATAGACTTTAAATTTTATCTTTTACTTAATCATTCGTTATACCTTTCAGTGTAGGATTTACCGATTTAAGTTTGTTGGGTTTGTTTTTCCTTTTTTTTTTTTTTTTTGTTTGTTTGTTTGTTTGAGACAGGGTATCATTGTGTAGCTTTGACTGGTCTGGAACTCACAGATACCTGCTTCTGCCTTCTAGCAAACCTCCTGGCAGAAACTTTGTTTTTGTAAGACAGGGTCTCACACAGCTTAGACTATCCTTAAACTGTGTAGCCAACGATTATCTGGAATCCCCATCCTCTTGTCTTTACCTCTCAAGTGCTGAGATTACAGGCATAGACTGCCACATTTATTTTAAACCTGTTAACATTTCACTTTATAACTTCTTTTTGGAAAGTACTGCCAACTTACAGTCCTCATCAGCAAGAAAGAAGGACTCCAGAGTTCTTTCTGGGAGTGGAGGTGGAGGAGAATCATCCTGCTGTCGATCTGTAATAAGAAAAGTATACAGCAAGACAAAGAAATCTGCCAATTAAAGTCAGGTTAGGACCCATTTTGTAACTCTGTAATTTTTGGTGTTTGTAATTTTTCCTGTTGCTGTACCAGCACACCCTGACAAGAGCAACTTAAGGAAAGGAGTGTATGTTGGCTCGTAGTCCCCGTGTCTGTAACATCGTGGTGGGCTAGTCCTGGGGACAGGAGCTCAAACTCAGCTGCTTGACATTGCATCCGTGGTCAGAAAGCAGGGAGTGGTGGATCCCAGCACCACTCAGCCAGAATTGTTCTTACTCAGCCCAGGGCCTCGTCCAGGGGAGCTAGTGCTAACCCTACGGGGTGATCTTCTCACTGCAAGCTGCTCAGGATAACTCCTCACAGGCATGTGCGAGGGCTAGCTAAATCAAAATAATCCCTCACAGATGTACTGGAGGCCTGCTTCCTGGAGGATTCCAGAGCCTTCAAACCAACCATCACAACCCCCAAATCAAAAAGGATCTGAACATAGGAATGCAGGTGTGCGCCACCATGTCCACATCTCCTGGGGTGGACATAGCAACAATAAAGTGAACACGATGTAAAAGGAATCATCCAAACAATGACCAGAGTCTGGAAAGTTAGCTCATCCGCATTGTCAGCCGAGGAGCACAGGGTTCATCAAAAACTTAGGAGCTCATTTACAGATGTATTCTTCTGAAGAAATTGGAAATAGATTTTACCAAGGCTTGAGAACCAATTTATTTTACAAACAAACTTAAAGGATAAAGAAACATGTTAGATTAGTCATGAAAATACAATTAATTAAATTTAGAATTTTCCTTTAAGACCAAATAAATACAAAAAAAAAAAAACTGTTATAGATATTTAAAGGAAAAAAATGCAATGTATAGTAAGCCAACTAAGCTGACTATAAAACTTTTTTTTTTTTTTGACTCTCTCAGGCTCTCACTATGTAGACTAGGCTGGCCTGGGACTCACATAGGTCCCCCTGTCTTTGGCTCCCAGTGCTAGAGTCAAAGGCATGCTCCACCACAGAAATGCCAGGCTGAAAAGGCATTTCTGAGATAGCTGGAGAAAACAATGTAGAGTGAAAATCAAATACTATTAGAGGACTACTTATCAATTGATGATGCTACATAGTAGAGCTAAGGTGCATGTTTGCAATTTTTCATAATAATTTTAAATAGTGTAATTTCCCATAATGTAAATAACCTAAAATACAAAATGTCCTAGTGACATAAATGTCTTACCATACACTGCTAAGTATTGCTTTTTGGTTTGGTTTGGTTTGGGTTTTTTTGAGACAAGGTTTCTCTATGTAGCCCTGAGTGTCCTGGACTCACTTTGTAGTCCAGGCTGGCCTCAAACTCACAGAGATCCGCCTCCCAAGTGCTGGGATCACAGATGTACACTACTGCGTCCTGCTCACTGCTAAGTGTTGTTTCATAGGACGTTGGTACATTCTGAAAATGAAAATAAGCACTGGCTGTCTTAGAACCAGGCCTCGAATCTACAGGGAACCTGCTGCCTCTGCCTCCCCAGTGCTGGGATCACAGGTGTGCACCACCACACCCAGCTCTTTAAATTCTGTTAAGATAAATTATATAAAATATCAAAATTGTACATGGAATGAGATACCATGTATTTCAATGCATGTATACATTGTGTAATATTAAATGAAGTTAAACATTGTCGCTCAGACCTTGATTGTTTATAGTGAGAACATAGAAGCCATTTTCCCAGTCTTTAGGAATGAACAATGTGTGACTTTCAGTAGGCCCTGAGCTATGCAGCAGCACACTAGATCTCCGTGCCTACTGGTGACTTAGTACCCAGTGGCCAACTTTGGCCATCAGTAATACCATGAAATGCTTGTCTTTCTCTGCCTTTCTTATTTCATCTAACATAGTGATCTCCAGTCCTACCCATGCTGTCATAAATGACAGAATTTCATCCTTTTTCTTGCTGAGTGGTACATATACATGTATACACATATAAATATATATATATGTACATATACCACATTTTCTTAACCATGCATAAGTTGATAGCATATAGATTGTGTTTTTTAATTGCTGTAGATAGTGCTTTTGTGAACATATAAGTACAAGTGTCTATTTGTATGTCCTTTGTGTATATACTCAGGAGTGGGATTTCTGGATCAAGTGGTAAATTTTTTTTAAAAAACCTTCATACTGTTTTTTCTTTCTTTCCTCCTTTCTTACCTTCATCTCTTCTTTTCTTCCTTTCTATCCCTCAGATTTTTTTTTTTTTTGAGATAAGGTCTTAAAGGCTGACTTCAAGCTCATCTTTCTCTCCACCTCTTGATTGCCAAGTTGATAAGATTTAGAATCAACATGCAAATGAACTTCTTGGCATGTTTCTGAGGAAGATTCGTGATTGGGTTACTTAGAGTGGAAAGACTATCATGGGCTGGGATCCACCACTGAATAAAGAGGAGAAAGTGAACTGAACACCAGTGTTCATCTCTCTCTGCTTCCTGGCTGCAGATGTACTGTGAACCTCTTCATCCTCCTGTTACTATGCCTAGCTAGGCAGCATGATAGTCTGTATCATCATGAGAGACTACCAACATGAATGTGGTGGCTTGAATGAAAACGGCCCAAGGGGCTCAGAGACTGGCACCATTAGGAGGTGGAATATGTATGGCTTTTTTTGGAGGAAGTGTGTCACTGGGGATGGGCTTTGAGGTCTCATACACTTAGGCCAGGTCCAATATCTCATTCTCTTCCTGCTGTCTGTTGATCTCGATATAGAACTCTCAGCTCCTTCTCTAACACTATGCCACTATGGTGATAATAAGCCTCTGAACTATAAGCCAGTCCCCATTAAATGCCTTCCTTTGTAAATTGCCATGATCATGGTATCTCTTCACAGCAACAGAAACACTAACCAAGACAATGATGGACTCTTCTATCAAAATGTGAGTGAAAAGAAACCCCCTTTTTTTCCCATTAAGCTGCTTATGTCAGGTGTTTTTGTCATAGCAGTGACATAATAACACACACAAAAAAAATATAGAAAATATTAGTACTGAGAAGTGAGCCATTGCTGTGATAAAGTTGGCCATGTTGTTCGTAGGCCTTTGGAATTGCTTTAAAGGAGGAAGGTGGAGAAATGTGTAACCCCATGCTGGAAAATCCTAAAATGCAATAAGCAGAATTTAGTAGAACTTTCCAGTGGGAGATTAGAAGACCAAAATTTGGAGAGAAGTGTGAGTATTAGAGGCCTAGCTTATAAATTGCAGGGGCAAACAAGGACTCTATAGGAAACTCAATTAGAAGCCGTTTTGTTTATATCCTGGCTTCTAGCTGTGTTCTGGATACAGGAGTGATGGACTAGTTTGTTAGTGGAAGTGGTTCAAACAGAATAGTATTAGGGCTGTGGCATGCCCACCTCTTTCTTTTATTCAGGTCTACAGTTTTAGTAAAAAGTAAAGCAGTAAGAAACGTGCAGCTTAGCTGGGCGCAGAGGCACACAGTAATCCCAGCATTTAGGGAGAAAGAGGCAGGTGGATCTCTGTGAGTTTGAGGCCAGCTTGGTCTACAAAGCAAGTTCTACACAGCCAAAGCTAGACAGAGAAATCCTAGACCCCACCCCCCAAAAAAGACCATTCAGGACATCCTACTCACACAGGACCTTAAAATTGTGAGTCACTAAAGTCAGGCATGGTGGTGCACACCTTTATTCCCAGCACTCTGCTCTGAAGCAGAGGCAGGCAGATCTCTGAGTTCAGGCCAGCCTCATCTACAGAGCAAGTTCCAGAACAGCCAGGGATACACAGAAAAAAAAAACCTGTCTGGAAAACATACACACAAACACACACACACTACATACATACATAAAGTAAAATCTGGCTTACTAAGGTAATGTTGAGCATAGCTATGCTTGTCAGATAGATACATAATAAACAAAAGTTTTCTTTTTTTAAAATATTTATTTATTTTATGTAGATGAGTACTCTATCTGCATGTATATCTGCATGCCGGAAGAGAGCACCAGATCTCATCATTATAGATAGTTGTGAGCCACCATGTGGTTGCTGAGAATTTAACTCAGGACTCTTAACCACTGAGCCATCTCTCCAGCCCAGTAAACAAAGGTTTTCTAAGTTAAAGGAAAAGATTGTTGCCTTTGCTGAGTGAGCCTTTTTATTTGAAATAATTTCACTTGACTATTCTTGTTTATGCTTCCTTATTGTTTTTTTTTTTTTTAATGTCTTGTTCAAAAAGTTCTCACCCATTGCAAATTCCTGAAGTCTCTCTTCCAGTCATTTTATAGTTTTTAGTCCTGTAATTAAACTTTACTAGATGTTGGGCTGGTTCTGTTGACTGGGGAGGTAGGTCCCGCCTTCACCATACATGCAGGCACCACACTGTCACAGAATCGTTTGTTGAAAAGACTGTCCTTTTTCCCGTGCATGTTCACAGCATTTTTGTCAAGTCAGGACAGAAGCACGTGTGGATTTACTTCTGAGATATTTATTCTGTTTTTCTGGTTTGTGTGTCTCTTTTTAGGTCAGCACCTTGCATTTCTGACTTCTCTGGCTTTGTGGAGTTTGAAGTCAGATGGTATAGTAGTTTTCTGCTTTGTTATTTTTACACAAGATTGTTTTGACTATTTCAATCTTAAAATATCCTATCTGAAATAATATTTTTAAAAGGATCCTACCGTTACTTTGCCCATGCAAAACAAAACTGTAAGTTTGGGAAAACCAAAAATCAATCAAGACAGCAGAGGCTATTACAAGAACCATGAATCCCCCTGAGGTGAGTCACTCTAACCTAATGAGCTGTTCTTACAAAACAAGTTCTTAGGACTAAACGTCCTCTAAAGTCAAGACATGTCTTTACCTGATGCGGGACTTCGGAGTTTCACATTCTAAATGGGTGAGGAGGAAAAAAATGAAAGAATAATATGTACACACACAATATAAGCTTGACTCAATAAATAGCATTTTTAAAAATTATAGTTTATATAACTACAGTGATAACACTAATTATTAATTCATAAGAGTGCTGAATTATAAAAAGCAACCCTTAAGTCTTACAGTGATTTTCATAGTTTTATATCATATGGAAATTAGTTCAAAATTGATCTTCTGAATTATTTCTTTCATAATTTAGAACATTACCCTAAAAATTTATTTGGAAATGAGTTGTTGAATTGTAATTACTTTATGACACTGAAAAGGGCTGATTGTTCTTTGCTATGTGAGTTACCAAAAAGGTCATTATGTGTGTGCATACTATTAACAGTAATTGTAGCAACATTACATTAACAGTGTAATTTTCCAGCACTGCAATTAAAAGGAGCTATTTTTAAATTCAGGATTAAACCTAGAGTCTGACAGTGCTGGACAAATGCTAACACTCAGCTACATCCCTGTAGGAACTCCTAAATGTTTAATTAATTTTCTGATCTCTGAAATCAGTGTATATACTAATATAGTTGGTTCAAAGAATATATAGAAATGCATAACAGGTTATCAGAAACAGATTTTTCTTCTAGAATCAGGGAACATTATTCCAAGTGGTTCATCTTAAATAATAAGCACATGCCATTAAAAGCTGCTATCTGTGATTTCACTGCTAACATGATCTAGCCCACGAATTGACTTGTTTTTGCCTTAACTGTCTTTTTGATTACTCTCAACATGAAAAGCTCTCCCGTCCATTGAATCCCTCTATCTTTCCCATATCATTGGTATATGGTCTTGGCATACTAAACATAAAGAGTCACGTCAACTGTAAGCTTCTTAAGAGTGAGAAAATATGCCTTGCATATCCTTCTTATCCCCAACATCATCCTCTAGCATGTTATTTTACATGTACATTTTACATTTTAGGACCTATCAATAATTATTGAATGACAGCTGTTAAAATGAATAGGGTCTGTGGTGGGGGGCGGAGTCCCAGTACTTGCCATTCTGGCAGAGGACCTCTGTTCAGTTCCCAGCACTCACATGGCGGCTCACAACCATCGACAGCTCCAGCTCCAAGCCCATGCCCTCTCTCCTGACTTCTGCAGGCACAAGGCACACATGTACACATATATACATACAGGCAAAACATTCTTACACCTAAAATAAATATGCCTAAAAAACAAAATGTGTACAATAAAACTATTGTCTGTGAATACAAATGAGTTGAGTCAGAAAAAGTTTACAAACCTTGCTTGGTGTAAGTCCCACAGAGTTGTGGATATTTGATTCACATGTTCCACTTGGTTCCAGCAATGCTCCAGTGTTCATCTTCATCAGAGGTAAAGGTTCAGCAGCACTTGCTGAGAATTCTCCTGTGAGAAGTGAATGTGCCCCATTCTTAGGAAATCATTTTCTTTTTTAAAAATTGGTTTATTATTTATTACAATTTATTTACTTTGTATCCCAGCTGTAGTCCCCTTCCTCATCTCCTCCCATTCCCATCCTCCCTCCCTTTTCTCCCTCCATGTCCCTCCCCTAGTCCACTGATAGGGAGGTCCTCCCCTACTATCTGACCGTAGCCTATGAGGTCTCATCAGGACTGGCTGTATCCTCTTCCTCTGTGGCCTGGCAAGGCTGCTCCCGCACCCCCCCCCCCGTGGGGGAGGTGATCAAAGAGCAGGCCACTGAGTCCATGTCAAAGACAACCCCTGCTCCCTTAGTAGGGAACCCACATGGAAACTGAGCTGTCTGTGGTCTACATTTGAGCAGGTGATCTAGGTCCTCTCCATGCATGGTCCTTGATTGCCACATCAATCTCTGCAGACCCCATCGATCCAGATTTTTTGGTTCTGTTGCTCTCCTTGTGGAGCTCCTATACCCTCCAGGCCTTTGTATCTCCTCCTTCTTCCATAAAGTTCCCTGCATTCTGCCCAAAGTCTGACTATGAGTCTCAGCATCTGCTTCAATACCCTGCTGGGTAGATTCTTTCAGAGGCCTGCTGTGGTAGGTGCCTGTCCTGTTCCCTGTCTTCTCCTGCTTCCGATGTCTATACTGTTTACCCTTCTGAATGAGGATTAAGCATCTTTCCTAGGGTCCTCTGGCAGTACATATACTAAAATTGGAATGATACAGAGAAGATTAGCATAGCCCCTGTGCAAGGATGACATGCAAATTCATGAAGCGTTCCATCTTTTTTGGCTATTAGCCATATAATACAAGATAAACATACTAAAATCAATAGTACTAAAGAAGCTAAACAACAAGGAATGAGGTTATTTTTAAAGGAGGCAAAGGGATGCTCAGCAGCAGCACACCAAACACTGACAGGACCTGAGAAGAAACACACACTTCATACTTACTGAATTGTACTCACCAGCTTCCTCAGCCACAATGAAAGACTCAGGCGTTCTTTCAGGGAGTGGTGGGGGGATTTCGTCCTCATCTGTTCTTGGAGAAGTAGCTATCAAAGTATCAGAAATGTAATCACAATTTTTGTTGGGAATAAAGGAGAGTCGTACATTCTAATGTAATCCTAAATATAAACTTAACAGATTTTTATTTGCTTACTCCAGGAAAAAGAATAAATTTGTCTCTAGGTAAAAACTTATGCTTTGAAATTCTTTACTGAGTTTAAAGGTCTGAATGCCCCACATATTTGGACGGTATTGCTGCCAGGATGGTTTGAATTGTTCTCTAGTCACCTAAATATTCATTTTAAGATTTTTAAAAATCTTTTCTTGCTGGGTGATGATGGCGCATGCCTTTAATCCAGAACTGGGGGTTGGGGAGGAGGCAGATCTCTGTGAGTTCAAGGCCAGCCTGGTCTACAGAGGGAGTTCCAAGCCAGCCAGGGCTACACAGGGAAACCTTGTCATTAAAAAAAAAAAAAAAAAAAAAAAAAAAATCTTTTTTATTCCATATGGAATCCAAAATATTGATGTTTGTTACAGAAATAGAAATGGTTTATCAATAAAGAGTAAGAAACTTCTGGGGATAGAAGTGAACAAGAGATCTAGGAACAGGCTCATAGAAATATTAAGAATTTCTGTAGACCATTTTACATGCTATTATAAGAAATTGCCACCAGATGGCAGACATGTCAATTTGGCTAAAATGTGAAAACAACTTACTTTGTCATTATTTTTGGTGTGCTAAGAAGTTTAAAGTATTATAGTTATTTATAAAAAGAAAACATCAGATGGTGAGGAGGCTCAGTGGGTAAAGGCACTTGCTGCTTCTAAGCCCGCCAACCTGAGTTAAATCCCGGAACCCACATGGTAGAAGGAGAAAATCACTGCTGCAAGTTCTGTGACCTACACACACACACACACACACACACACACACACACACACACACACAAACAAACCTTAAATGTTAATGATCAAACTGCAAAAGAACTAGGTCAAAGAAGGACCTTCTTAGAGCAAGATAAAATATCTTTTACAACAAATAATTTTCATCTATCAAACTTACTAGAGTTTATCAAGAGTTCAAAGTCACCATTGTTTATGTAGAGAATTTGAGGCTAGCCTGGGCTACCTGGTACCCTGTCAGGAAAAGGAAAAGCAAAACAAAAAACTTGGGGCTGGGGAAACAGCTCAGTGGGTAAGAATGTGTGAGAATGAGCACCTGAGTTCAGAGCCCCAGCAGGCACATGCAAAGCCCAAGTGTTCCTGTAACCCAGCCCCGAGGGCCAGAGACAAGGGCTTACTAGTCCTCAGCCTGGGAAAAGACAGCAAAAGGGAAGCTCTGAGTTCAGTTGGGACCACATCTCACGGTCAAAAGGTAGAGAGTGATAGAGCAATTCACTTGAGATCTTCATTTGACCCCCACATATGCACCTGCACCTGCACCTGCACACACACACACACACAAAGAGGGAGGGAGGGAGGAAAGGGAGGGAAAGAGAAATTAATCCTAGCAGTTGAGAGTCTGAGACAGGACCACTGTGAGTTCTAGATCTGCCTAACCTCTATGACTTCTAGGCCAGCTTGGGTAGTAAGACCCTATATGAAGAATGAAGGGAAGAAAGAAACATGGGCTGGGGCTAGAACTTGGTGGTGGAGCTCTTTCCTAGCTGGCTGGATTCAAGCCCCAGGACATCAACACGGAGGGAAAGAAAACTGCATTTAATAGTGTTATAGAGCAACAGTTCCTGCTTTTTCTAAGTAAACGCTCTCTATGGGTTATCTTGCAGTATGGCTAAGAGAATTAAACTTGCTCTCTGCGTCCTTCATCCTCTACTTCAAATTATTAGGGCTGGAGATGCCACTTAAACACCTGCCTGACATGCATGTGACACTATGTTCAATCCACTTTACCAAAAAGAAGGAAAAGACAAAAAAAAAAAAAAAGAATAGAATAGCCTCTAATAGTATGTTCACTCTTACTTTCTGACTACTCAGTTAAAACAGTATATTTGATATGTAAAAATCTCATAAGAGATAAATATGAAGGTTGTATTAAAAGATTAAAGTCACACAGCACTAAACATATCCTCACCTATGCCGCAGAAGTGCAGGGAATCAGGCCCTACCCTTCCCACTCCTATAGGAAAAGAATTCAGTGCTTAGCAATGTGTTCAACTCATCACCGGCATGTAAGTGCGTAGCAGATACTTCTGGGTGAGGGCACAGTTCTGTTCATCAGTTTGCCCTCTGCGCCTGGAAGCTGCTCCTGCGTGTTAAGTAAATGGTGGGTTTTGATAAGTCTGGAAGGAGGGCTAGCCTTGTCTGAAGCCTTCCTGTTGGCATAGGTGGGTCCCCATGCCTGGCTGCCTCCACTGTTGTCTTTAATTCAGTACATTATTAGAACACGTCTAGAACTTATTTATTGAGGAGAAGAGGGAACAAGAAAAAAGAAGCAGAGGAAGAGAAGGGCTAGGGAGAGAAGAAACCAAAATATTTCATGGAAACCAAGCCAGGTCCGAAACGCTTTACAAACTTTACCTTCTATAGCTGTCTCTTGGTTTAACGGTGGGGAAAAGCTGGTCAGAGGGCTTGCAGTTGAAGAACCATGTGCGTTGCAATAAGAAAAGGGAGTCGTAGAAGAGGCTGGCAACAGAGCACAAGGGAAAGTGGCTCCATCCTGCTTCTCAGGCAGATCAAAAGACATCTTAGAATCAGCACTATTTGGAGGTGATGATGGAAAATAAGGATCTTCTACCAAAGACATCCAAGAATGCACTCTAAGCGCACTGGTGCCGTCAGAGGCGTCATAGGCCGGGTGCTCAGAGGCGCAAGGCAGTGAAAAATTCAGTTCTTCTGAAGAAACGTGGGCCACACTTGGCGCCTGCAGCCCCATGAGACAAGGCTCATGCAGCTGAGATTCCAAGCGTGAAGAACCGTCTTCTATGTCCAACTCGTTTGTTTTTCTCTGGTGAATCAGTTCAAAAGGGGTTGATTTGGTCCGTATCACTGGCTGTCTCGAATCGGGACACCCACCTGCTGTGTTAATAATAGGTGGAGCACTAGGGCAGGACCCAAACAAAATGGAACCCAAATCCAAACTTTGATACTTCTGAAGGGGTTCCCCCATTACTGGAGATGCCTTTGCCTGCCCATTCCTGGTTATGACAGCCTTCTTGGTACACCCACAGTTTAGCTCAAGAAGGTCTAAAGGACTTGATTTCGCCGAGCTCAAAACCACCCCTTCCTTGGCACTGATCTCACAAGTCCTAAAGCTGAAGGAAGGAGCATCTGCACTCGCCTCTTCGGCCCTTTGATTGCCCTGTTGGGTTGTCATTTTTGCATCTTTCATTGCGCTGAAACAAAAAGAAAGCATGATGACACCGTACCAAAAAGAGGCTTCTCCCAGTAGCACAGTGAAGCAGAACATGAGATTTCCTCCCTTAGGCACAGCAAGTCAACGTTTAGATAAGCGAAATTTACTCACTTTTTTGTTAAATCCGAAGGACAAGAGTCAGCTTGTACTGTGAGATTTTGTTCAGGAATTGAAAACTCTGCTTCAATCTTCAAGAGAAATGTCAGAGTTTTTGTTGTTTTTTAATGGAACAATGTCAATGAAATGATTTAATATTTGGAAGAGTAGAAATTAATTAATATAACATACACACTCACAAGGCACAGGGGCCACCCTAGAAAAGGGGACAGAGAGATCAGGGAGAACTGGACTGAAACAATGTATTCACGTGATTCAGGAAATCAAACAGCAGTATTGCCTGTACAGGACCTCCATAAAACCAGGCCAGTCAACATTCAGATATGGATGGAGTAGCCCCCCCCCCCATAACTGATACCCTCCCATAACTGATTTGCTGTAAACAGTTGACGGCTTCTGGGGAAGGGAGAGTCAGGCTTTGTGTATTAGAAGGGTGTAGCCCCTGGTAGGTCAACCTTGAGTATATGAGCAGCACAAATTAGAGTTGGTGGGTTAGTTTTTTAGTAAAAGATGTTAGGAAGGGGTAGATAGAAGGGTGGTAGTTCTGGGAAGAATTAGGGAAAAAAATAAGGGTAAGAATGATCAAACTATATTGTAATAAAGAATAAAAACATTTTAAGTATAAAGAAACATGTTTATTTAGCTTCTTTGAGTTAATATAAATGACATATTTGTTTAAAAAAGAAAGATCCCACCAGGCAGTGGTGGTACACGCTAATCAACAGACAATTTTAACTAGATAAACACAATAAATCCAAGAGGTTTACTATAAAATACAATGACTGTAGTTAATAATGATGTATTATGTATTTTAAAACCTCAGAATATAGGTCTTAAATTATAAGTAAATATATTAATTATAATGATTTAGTCATTCTATAATGTATATACATTAAAACATATTGTGTGTTATAAATATCTTCCATTTCTTTTATAGTTTTTTGAGGTAGGGTCTCTCTGTGTAGCCTTAGCTGTTCTGGATCTTGCTCTGTAGACTAGGCTGGCCTCGAACTCACAATGTATTTAATTTTGTTTTGTTTCGTTTTTTGTTCTTTGAGACAAGGTCTCACTGTGTGGCCCCGGCTAGCCTGGAACTCGCCAAGCTGGCCTCCAAATTCATAGAGATCTGCCTGGCTCTGCTTCTGGGATTAAAGGCATGTGTTGCCACTCTTGGCTCAACTTTTATTTAGCAGTTTTTAAAAACAAAATGTTTGATGAGATCTTTGCTATAAAGACAGATGGAACCTAGAAAAGCACTCATCTAGGAGTTTATCAACTTAATCTCTTCTAACTTGCTGAAAATTGTCTAAAACTTGGGATTGAAACACATTCTTGACCTAATTAAGTCACTTCTAAAATTAGCTGAAAAGTGTGAATTTTTCAAGCTAAACTACCCAAAATTAACTTGTCCTCCACAGGAGATTTTGTCATAGCTCTATGCAAGCCTGACTTTCCAATTCAGTTGTGCTTACACATAAGCCCTACAAATAATGAGATCCTTTTGCCAAACACATAAAGAAGAACATGTGATTTAAAAATTACCTTTCTTCCAGAGTGATTATCAAAGATAATATCCATATGCCTCTTAAATAGTTCTAACACGGCGCTGTAGACCAGTTCATATTGCTCCTGGAGAGTATCCCGAGCCCAGCAAAGGAAGAAGATGAGAACATCAGGTGACTACAGAGGCCTATTTCAGAATGAGAACATCTGCAACCTACGTTACTAAACTCAGAGAAAGTGCCTCACGTTTGCTGTCCCTTTGCAGAATTGTATATACTTGCAGGCTATGAAAAATGCTTATTTTACATAACTCTAGCGAGCATTCGTGGATTTTATGCCATGCTTCTTTCATATTTAAATCTTTTTTTTTTGGGGGGGGGGTGTTTCGAGACAGGGTTTCTCTCTGTGTAACCCATGTCTATGTTTTCTTTGCTAGCATTTTTTAATGTATATGTTATCCTAGGTGTATTCTGAGTAAATAACCTTCATTTATGAAAAAAACAATCAGGTAATAGCTGGTATATGAATGATAGCTCCAATATGTATTCTCTAACTTCACAACTGCCCTATGAAGTAGGAAGGCTCTTAGTCCTGTTTACAGTCAGTTTGTCCAAGGCCATTCAGAAGTAATTACTGTCATGTGGCTTACAAACTGAATCTTCTAACTTAGTTTAGTGTATTTAGATAAAGTTACTGAAATTCTGTCCTAGTAAAGATAGCAAGGGAAAGTAAACCACTGAATAAAGCCTTGAAATCTGTGGTTACAAAAGGGCTCAATGTGGAGAAATGAGACCTCTACTTTTACCGTATACTACAAGATTTATGGCTTTTTAATACTTCATTGGGCCTTTCTGTTTCCTGAAGCACTTCCTCTGACACTTTCTACAACCCCATACAAAAAGCGAAGGACGTTTTCAACACTGTTTTAAGCAAGAGAACAATGTAGCAGCTGAATCACCTGGTACAGTCATGGAATACTATAATTTTTTTAAGAAGGAAAAAGCAGCCAGCCACTGTGCTTCATTCCTATAGTCCCAGCACCCCAGAAGCTGAAGGAGAAGGCTGACTGCAAGCTCAAAGCCAGGCTGGTCCTCAGTGGTGAATTCTAAGCCAGACTGATGTATGAGGTAAGACCCAGAAAGAGAGAGAGATTGAGGGAAGGAGGGAAGGGGAGATGGGGAAAGGGAGAGGGAGAAGAAAAGGAAAGAGTGGCAGAGATAAAGACAGAGACAGAGACTGAATAAGAATGGAATCAACCGGAAAGCATCATCTGGTTAGACGGCCATTTTGTAGTGTCGGAAGATCAACTACAACTGTTAGAATTTGGCTAGTCCTTAACAATGCTGAAATATGAACATTTCTCCAGTTACCTTCAAACTCCTAAAACTATGCCAGTCAGAGATGGGAATCTTGTGAAATGGGGTATGCCTATTAATTTAACAGTACAGTTCACATAACAAGGCCGCAGGCTTCCTGGTGTGTCTGTATATGTGCCTTGCCTTCCTTTCAAACCAGCCGAGGCTTTCATTTCATATAGAATACAGAAAACACCTACAGACAACACATGAAAAATTATTTCTTCACAACCAATTCATTGAAAACCTGTGTGAGCCAAACAGATACTTTTGAATTAATAGCCCTTTAGGTTTTCCCTTCATTCACAACCCGAACATTAAAATATCTAACCTGCCACTGTGAACTATTTGTAAAGGACTTGAAGCAGTCCATGATCTTTCTACTTAAATATAATTCAAAAAATAAAATAAGCAAAAATGCCTTACACATAATATCAATAAAATGTGAATGAATGAGTGGATAAATGTTAAGTTCCACCTCAAAGATGTATAAACATATAACTTTGAAGGAAGTTATTGGTGAATAAAAATGTGTGAAATTAATACCACAGGCAATGAGAGATCTGGGCTTAGAAGAAAAGGGAAGAATATTCCTATGAACATGAATGGGCAATCTAGAGTGGAGTCAAAGGTCATAGAACTTAATAAAGGCTCATTGTAGTTATGTTTTTAAAGTGTGCCTATAGACAGGGAACCATAGGGAAATGGCAACAGAACAACCTCTATATGATCAGCACATGCTTGTTCTGATTTCATTTTCCATTGCTTCCTAACACAGAAAGGATATCGTGAAGTACAAATGACAAGTCCCTGATTTTCAGGGCTTCAGGGGTAGATCTGTAACAAATCTACAAAATTTCAAGTTAAGCTAGCCTTAAGTTAGCCAGTTCTTTCTAATAAGTCAATTCTTTAAATTTTTCAATTTCCTTTGTAAGCAGGAAATAACAGATGGTAAAATACGAGGAATGGAAACGATCTGACCCAGGACAGGGGCTACAGGAAAGCATTGGGTACTCAGAGTTAGAGAAAAACTCACAGTGAATTAGTCTCAGTAGCTTTTGGATATCTCGCTATAAGCAGACATGTGGCAAGACTCAGGCGTTCACTCTCATCCATTCACCACAGCCCATACCTGAGTTTGAACTAGTGAAGGCCTCTGTGTCCGCATTTCCTGGATCAAGTTAAAAACACTGAAATTCTCAGGAATTATCTGTCAAATCAAAGAGAAAAATATTTATTTTTATTCTTTGCTAACAAGTCTTGCCACTTTCTCATAGTCTTGTACTTCTATGATACCTACTCTTCTAATCTAGAATAATAGCAAGAAAAGAAAGTTTCTCTCTTCTTTCCCTCCCTCTCTGTACTTCTTTCTTTCTGACAGGGTTTCATATAGGCCAAGCTGGTCTTAAACTTGCTATGTAGCCAAGGATGCCCTTCAATTCCCTCCATCTTCCAAATGCTAGGATGTAGGCATGTGCCACCGTACCCATTTCCCAGGCTTACACAATTTAGACAGATCCAACATAAAGCTTGGTGCATTGTTATCCAACCACCCTAACAACTGGACTATACGCCTAGCTCTAAGAAGGCACTATAAAGTGTGTGTTTTTATTTCATGCCTGTGACTGTTTGCAGACATAAGCACCATGTGGATGCCTGGTACCCACAAAGGGCAGAAGAGGCCACTGGATCCCTCAGACCTGGAGGGACTGCTGATTGTGAACTGACATGTGCTTGCTAGGAACCACACTTTTGCAAGAGCAGCAAGTTCTCTTCCCTCTGAGCCATATCTTCAGCACCAAGAATGCAACCAATTCAGTTTCTTATAATTTTCACCGTGATTTAGAGCAGTAGATCTCAGCCTTCTTAATGCTCTGATCCTTTAATACAGTTCCTCATGATGCGCTGGCCCCAAGCATAATTTTGTTGTTGTTGCTGTTGCTACTTCATAACTATAATTTTGCTGTTGTTACAAATTATAACATAAATATCTTGTGTTTTCCAATGGTCTAAGGCAACCACTGTGAAAGGGTCGACCCTTTCAGGTCAAAGGGTCTCAATTCAGGTTGAGAACTGCTGATTGAGAAGCTGGTGTGCCTAGGAAAGACTGACTGATGTAACTCAGAACAGTTTCATATGGGGTGATCAAATGTTTCATACCACGAAGCTAAGAAAATCTGAAGCCCATATTTTAAACTTCTTATTTCCTAACAGACATAAAAACTGATCTCAGGGGACTGGAGAGATGCTCAGCCATAAGGAGCACTGGCTCCTGCCGAGAACCCAGCACCTACTTGATAAGCTCACTATCTGTAACTACAGTTCCAAGGGATCTGATGCCCTCTTTTGGCCTTTGTAGGCATCAGGCACACACACACACACACACACACACACACACACACACACACACACACATATGCAGGTAAAATACCTATACACATAAAATGTTTAAGTTTTTTTAAAAATTGGCTAAGTGTGGTGACACAGAGGCAGCACTTGGGAGGCAGAAGTAGGTAGTGGCAGTTTGAGGCCAGCCTGGTCTACAGAGCGAGTTCCAGGACAGCCAGAAAAGTCCTGTCTCAAAAAAAATACATGTATTTCTAGAGCTGGAGAGATAACTCAGTCGATAAAGGGCATGCCACACAAGCACAGGAACCTGAGCTCAGATGCTCATATGCACATAGAAGCCCGGCGTGTCTGAAATCCCAGTGCTCAGGGAGACAAGTGGATCCCTGGAGCTCACTGGCTTGCCAGCCTACCCAAGTCAAGACTCAGTAAAGACCCTGTCTCAAGAAAATAAGATAGTAAACAACTGAGACCCCAATATGAATGGGGTCCTCCATATGAACATCCACACACATCCAGGCTACATATACATATAGGTGCGCACACACACACACACACACACACACACACACACACACACACACACTGATTTCCAGACAACAGTACAAAGCCTGACTGTGGTAAGTTGAATCCATCTGCTAAAGCAGCTTGGATAAAGGAAGGAAAATTATGCAGTTCAGGGCAGTAGTTCTCAAACTTTGGCATTTCTCAGAATCACCCAGAGAGGTCGTTGGCTCACACCTTCTAAATTTTCTAGATTGATCAGTGGCTCAGGAGTCCATAATTTATATTTCTAACACATTCTCAGATACTGTTGGTCAAACAGAATCATAGTTTGTCCTATTGGGGATCAAACTTAGGGCCTCCTGCCACAAGATAAGGACACTATTATTGAGCTACCCCCCTTCTCCCGGGGCCACACTTTAGGTTTCACTGACTTCAAAACTAATTTAATCAAATGACAGAGTAGACTTACAAGTGACTCGCTCTGTAAGAAAAGATGAGTTGTGAAGATGTTCTGCAAAGTGGAAATGCGTGCAGTAAGAAAACAGGAAGTGCTTGCTGGGAAACTCACCCCATCTTTCAGCAACATCCATGTATAATCAATAGCACAAATGACACCTGTCCTTCCACAGCCGGCACTGAAACAGAAGATTACAGTAGCACGTGGACTTGTCGAAAGAGATAACTGACAATGGTTGGAAATTTCCATAACAGATTTGAAGAGGGAGAACATGGAACTTTTCAAATCCTGCCGCGTCCCGGAACGTGTGTGCCCTGCCACAGTGGCCCTCAGACAGGAATTGGCAGGGTTCTCAGAGCCGCTATTCATAAGTAACTTAAGGAAATCTTTTCATAAATAACTTAAGAAAACCCAGCAAATGTCTCAGTGGACAACAGCTCTTGCCGCATTTACCTAATGACCTGAGTTCAATCCCCAGAACCGCATGGTGGAAGGAGACAACCAACTCCCCAAAGCTTCTTTGCATCTCCACATGTAGGCTGTGACACAAGCACATGGGTGCACATATGTGCATACACACATACACATACAATTTTCTTAAAAATGAATTTAAAGCATCAGTTGAATTATACACTAGATCGCTTCTGCTGCTGAATTTTTTTCTTTGAATTGCATCCCCGCCAGAGCCTCATTCTGTGTGTTCTCGGAAGAACGTTCATTCACAGTGTCTTACCTGCAATGAACACAAATGGGAGCACAGTGATCTTCTTGGTAACAACGTATATCCCAGATGAGCTCCAGGATGGGATCTACAGACGAAGGCACGTCATGGTCTGGCCAGTTCTTATAATGAAACTGGTAAATAATGCGAATCTCCTATTTAAAAAAAAAAAAAAAATAGCCAGAATAAGAAGAGATGCCACCTCATTCTACCAAAAGGTTAATCTGATTAAGTTCCGTCTATAACTTTTTTCCTTACAATTTACTCTGCTTTCTTCTAACATCGCTCTTGAGCCTTATGAAAATAATTAAAAGGAATATGGGGATGTTTTCTATTGTCTTATCCCTAACAACCCACCCACATAGGAAACAGATATGAAGATTGTCTAAAACAAACCTTCCTCAAAGTAGTGTGTCCCAAACGTGTCCCAAACATATTGGTATATTGAACTCCCTTGCTTTTAGTGAGGCAGAGTAGAGTCTAAGGCATCAAGTTGGTCCATGATGTCTACCGCCTCGATTCATACTACGATATCAATTCTATGTGTTCCACAGTATGAAACAGATTGCATATAAAGACTTGCTCAAGACACCAAAGGCTGTAATCTCCCCACAACTATATCCCAGCCTGAGCCACCCACGCTCCTGGGATGTACCGGTCCCATCCCAGGAGGCTCTCGACTTTATTATCCCTGTTCTATACTTACACTGTTGAACTTGGCTTTCAGAGTCCTGATCCTATAATCAGATTTCTTTTTCTCAGCTTCCTAAGGAGAAGATTAAATCATTACCAATTTCAAAGGCATGCTTTTTAAAAAGTAGAACTTGGAGGCTTTGCTCAGTCATGGTGGAAACACATCATACTTACACAGGATATAGAAAAGGGGCCAAATTGCAGCGGCGTCTCTCCTAGCTCAGCCCAATAGCGCTCACACTTTTTCTGTTGCATAAAACAGAAGGTAATGGTTTCTCTCCACATAGTCTAATGCCTCCTGCAAAATGAAACTCACTCCCTCATTCAAAAGCAGCTCTGTGTCATTCATCTTAGGTTACGCACAGCTAACTCCCTTGGACTTCAGCTCCAGCAACATGATAAGAAATCTCCAAAGGATAAAAGACAGACATTAAATCATGTCTGAATGACAGACCTCCTAGGAGTCTGAAAAAGTAGAAAGTGATTGTTGACCTATTTTCAGCATCTTAAATCGTTCACTAAAACAGCTGCACCAGTTAAGTGCCAGATTCCTTTGACTGAAGTTAGAATTCCCCACTCAGAATGGCAACAGCAGATTAGAACAGCAATGCCAGCCACATGCTTAGCTTTAAATCTTCTAATACCATGTTTAAAAATTAAAATAGGTGAAATGTGCTTTAGCCCCAATATACCAAAATATTGAACATGTAATCGGTGTACAAGAATAGCACATATTTGGTTGCCTTGTTATTTAATAAATATTAAAATCCTATGTATATTTTATATGTATCACATAAGTAGAATATTAAATTTTCATTAGAAATATTTTCATTTGTAGTAAATTAAATTTTTATTTGAAAATTTCATATTCCCCAAAACAGAGTTTTCAATAGCAGAAGTGAAAATTTTTAATGTTAAACCAATTGAAATAAAACTATTGAGTCCTTCCACTATGCAGCCCATGGGAAGTACTTATAGCTACGTGTGGTCGTGCACGCTGCTTTGGGCAGCTCGGGCTGAGCTTCTGACGGGCAGTTAAAGCGTCTGGTTGTCAGAAAGGAAATGGCACTCTCTTACCCCTTCCTTTCTTAACTTTAGAGCATAGGAGCTGCCGGAGAAATGCCTAGAACTGGTCCTCAGAGATGAACCCTTAGGGATCGTGTGGTATCCCCAAACGGAAAACTAGAAAAATGGTGTGGTTTTTCCCAGGCACACGTAAGGAGAGTTCTGCCACCGCTGTCCCCACCGCCACCACCTCCACTTGTTTTCTCTACCTTTGGGTTAACCAGTACTAGAGAGCAACTCACCTTTCCCATTTCAAACTCCATACACGCCATGACAATGACCTGTAGACACGAAACAAAAGTGTGAACAACCACAGAGTTAGAGAGGACAGTCCTGCATGAGTCAGAGAGCCAGAAGTATTGAGCCTTTTTTTTTTCTGTTGGCTTTGCCTTTTTTATTTTATTTATTTTTTATTAATTACACTTTATTCATTTTGTATCCCCCCATAAGCCCCTCCCCCCTCCCCTCCCGATCCCACCCTCTCTCCCCTTTCTGCATGCATGCCACTCCCCAAGTCCACTGATAGGGGAGGTTCTCCTCTCCTTTCTGATCTTAGTCTATCAGTTCTCATCAAAATTGGCTGCATTGTCCTCTACCGTGGCCTGGTAAGGCTGCTCCCCACTCAAGGGGAGGTGATCAAAGAGCAGGCCAATCAGATTATGTCAGAGGCAGTCCCTCTTTCCATTACTATGTAACCCACTTGGACACTGAACTGCCATGGGCTACACCTGTGTAGGGGTTCCAGGTTATCTCCACGAATAGTCCTTGGTTGGAGTATGATTCTCTGGGAAGTTCCCTGTGTTCAAATTATCTTGTTCTGTTGCTCTCCTTGTGGAGTTCCCGTCCCCTCCAGCTCTTACTATTTCCCACTTCTTACATAAAATTCCATTCACTCTGCCCATCAGTTGGCCATCAGGCTCAGCATCTGCTTTGACAGGCTTTGCCTTTTAACCCAAAAAGAAACCCTAATGACTTATAAGCCGGTCTCACTCTTCCCTCTTTCTGTCCCCACTTCCCTGTTCTCTAGTCAGCTTTGTAAACTCTTGCTACCAAGAGAGCCTGTCAAGGTGTCGACTTTCATTTCCTTGAACAAGTACATTGTAAAATTGATAAAAGATACCCAAACTCTGCAGTTTCATCAAGCCATAAGAAAAGTGATGCTTTTAACAGCTGGGAAGCCCTAGTCACACCCTGGCATCATGCCCCTTCTCCTAAAGTGCCAGAAGCAGTTCTGCTCTCACCAAGACACGATATTCCCAGATCATCCTCCAGAAGTCCAGGACAGTTGTAGACAAAGGACCCTGGGTGGCAATATAAGCCCTGGGTCCATAGACACCCTAAAGGGGAACAGAAATCACATGAAGCAGCTGGGCATGTTGGAACATAAATGTAATCCCAGCACTCAGGGAGGCAAATTCTGAGTTTGAGACCAGCCTAGCCTACAAAGCAAGTCCAGGACAGCCAAGGCTACACTGAGAAACCCAGTATGGAAAAACCAAAAAGAGAGAGAGAGAGAGAGAGAGAGAGAGAGAGAGAGAAAGAAAGAAAGAAAGAAAGAAAGAAAGAAAGAAAGAAAGAAAGAAAGAAAGAAAAAGAAAAAGAAAAAATAGAAATCACATGAGGCAACTACAGACAGCACCCTCTTCTCCCTGTCCCCTCTTTTAGGAGCTCAGAGAAATCTGGACTGTTTTTCTTTCCCCTCCATCTACCTTAATGAAGTTGGCATTGATAAAGGTGGAATCATCATCAGAAGTTATCAGAGACAGCTCTACCAGGCTGTGATCATCTGGAACAAAGAGAAAGGTGTGGTGTCACTGAGAAGTGTTTCCTAGAGGTTTAGGTCATGTCTCAAGAATAGTGCTTGTTACAAGTGTCTGACAAGTGAACAAGTAATTGAATGAATAAATGTTCTTTCGTATTAATAAATAGTATAATTAGTCAGTGCCATATTCCAGGATTAGAAACTTGGTTAAAAAGGGAGGGGGGGGATGGTTAAAATTGGGAGGAAGTACAGTTGACATAAAGAAATGGAACTTACAAGGCAAAATATCCTTGTATCTGTTTTTCTTGATATTCTTGGGCCTCTGAGCCACAGTCGTAGTATATGTTTTGTCTGCCTTGTACTTGGCAGATTGCCTTTTCAGCTTCTGTAACAAAATTCCAAGAATAAGTTTTGGTTTTCTTTTCTTTTTTCCCTAAAGAAGCTTAGGAAAATAGCTCACTTGGTAAAATTAAGTACTCCTTCCAAGCAGGAGGACCTGAGTTTGATTCTCAGAACCCACATAAAAAAAGCCATGTGTTTTTTGGGGATGGTGAAATGTGCATTTGGAAGGCAGAAGCAGACAGATTTTTGCCAGACTGGTCTACATAGTGAGTTCCATGCCAGCCAAGGAAACAGAAAGACCCTTTCTCAAACAATGAACAAAAATTAAAAGTAAAAAGGCCAAGTGTAGTAGCTCAAATTTGCAGTGCCAGTGCTGGGGAGTTAGAGGCAGGTGGATTCCTGGAGCTCACTGACCAGCAGATCCCAGGGAGAGACCTTGTCTCACAAAACAAACAGATGATTCTTGAGGAAAGACATCCGAGGTTGCCCGATAGCCTCCATAAATTTGCACGTACAACCAAACACACGTGTGTACCACATACAGGAATATGTACATGTGAATGCATGTGCATTCACACCCAGGCAGGCACATGCACACAAGGAAGGTGATAAGAAGCTATCCACTTTTCAAACTTTCTACCTTAACCCTTTTAGCATCCTCTGGGGCTTCTTTCAGGACAGGAAATAATGCTGGCATAGTTCAGTGACTTTGGAGAAGTGAAGAGCACACTGCAGCTGAGTCACAGGCAGTAAAACCTAGATCTGAAACTGCTAAATAGTCAAAAAACCAAATAACTTCTAAAAGTGAGCTCTGTGCTCCACCCGTGGAACAGATACCAAGAGCATGATTTACTTTCTTTAATGGGTCTATTCAGTGTCAACAGGAAAATTACTAAATTCCATTCATCTCTATTTTTACTTCAGATCACTTTTTTTCTAAGTAGAAATGGAGCTTAAGTTAAATACACTCTTTAAAACTGTCAAATTTCAGAAATTTCAGTTCCAAATCATTTTTATGTGACTCAAACCTTAAGCCTACCATTCCAGCAAGTAATAACCTAAACAGAATCATATTCTTTAGGTATAATATGTTCTGAGACAGGCAGCGACAATTGTAATGTGATTGGACAAGAGTCCTTAGAATGGTGAAATAATTCCTTAAAATTATTCCCGTTTTTTGTTTGTTTGTTTGTTTGTTTTAGCGTTACACCATAGACCCAAATGTGAGGTCAGAAATGATAAGATCTGATCATTTTTCTTGGCTACTTGTCCGGAATTAATGTAGTCCAACAAACCAACAGCACAGAGAGGGAGACAAAAAGAAGTGATGGTCATGTAAAATTTTGAAATTATCCAAATTCATCATGAGGCTTCAAAATTGGCTCAGAGAGTCTTTAATCGGAGCACTCAGGAGGCAAAACAGGTAGGCCTTCATGAGTTTGAGGCCAGCTTGGTCCACATACTCAGTTCTAGATGAGCTAGGGCTACATAGCAAGACCCTGTTTTGTTTTGTTTTTTTAAAATAATAATTTGTAATTGTCTCAGGGGAATCTGGTGACCAAGTCAGTCTTCAGGGAGAATGGGAGAAAGTGGAGAGCACGGCTAAGAATTCAGACTACCACTATCACTATTCCACTATATGGAATTTAATTAAAGTATTATTTTCCAGCCAGGTGTGGTGGCCCACGCCTGTAATCCCAGCATCTGGGAGGCAGAGGCAGGCAGATCTCTGAGTTCAAAGCTAGCCTGGTCTACAGAGGGAGTTCCAGGTGAGCTTTGGCTACACAGAGAAACCCTGTCTCAAAAAATTTTTAAAAAGTAATATTTAAAAAAAAAGGTAACATTTAGTTATTATAACAACTCACTCTATCAAAATATAAACTCTTCCTAGTCAAGAATTGAACTAGAACAGCCAGTCTGCACTTTTTTTTTGGCAGCTCCACAAGTACCAATATGTATTTCTCCAGTGACTCTCTTTATTTCTAGGTTTGATAAGACACAGGAAACCTACTGAATCCAGACCAGGAACACTGAAAGGTCTTGAATCCTAATTTTGTACCATGGTTTGAATGCCTATGATTCCAGAGCTGGACTTGGCAAGAGAGCTTCAGACACTAAAGTGGCTATGCTAATGGACGAGCTTGGGAATTTAATTCAGAACAGGACACAGACACCTCGAACACCATAAAATACTTGTGGTGGGCTGGTGAGGTGGATCAGCAGGTAAAGGCACCCACGGGCAAGCTTGATGCCTGAACTTAACCTCTGGTTCTGTGTGACAGAAGGAGAGAAATTGTCATCTCACCGCCACACACCTGTTCCTCCCCCAAATAAGTACAATTTTAAAACTTTCAAAACTACTTCCCCTGAAGTTCCACCCACTTCCCCCATCTCTGCTCTTACCCTCCTTCAGAATGATCGGCTTTTATGTTGCTCTAAGTTTTATGACTGCTGACAAGTGTCCCCCAGCAATCCTTTCTAGCAGTTTCCAGAGTCCATACATCGTCTTTGTTGTACTAGTTTTATTTCCTTTCTTGTACTTTGCCTTGCTTGTGGAATGCTTCTGGAGGAGAAGGTCATAGGCAAAGCCTGGGGGTTTGCTGGGTTTGATTTTTGAAAGAACTCTTTGGGTGAGATGCCACAGATAAAGATTATGCATTCAGGTAATACGTGCTTGTTTGGTCTTCACTGTAACCTTCAGAGTGGAGTTTTCTGTTGCTGCTCCTGGAGTCATGTGACTGATGACAGAGGATACTCAGCTAAACATACAGGAAATACCTACACAACTTTTAACTTAGGAAGTGTGGAAAAACTTTAATTTTTTCCCCTGACGTCTATGTGGTCAGACCACCCTCAAATCCTCCTTTCAAGTCTTCTTCTCTTCCTGCTAACCCCAAAGCTCCCAGACTCTAGCAGAGAATGTAACAGAAAAAAACAAAAACAAAAACAAAAACAAAACAAAACAAAAAAACCTTGATAAAGTACAGCAGAAACAAGGGAACTCTGAAGCAAAAAGCAAAGGGTATAGGGTAAAAAGCAGGACGACTAGGGGTTTGGAGGTTTGGGAAGAAAGAATAGGTCGGAGAGTCAAGGTTTTTTCTCTGCCAGACACAAAGCAGGGGTCGTTAGTCCTCCAAAGAGGCACCCGTCAAGAATAACTGATGGAAAAGCCCCTGGGAGATTAAGCTATCAGCCTCTGCAGGGTGAACGAGGGTGGGAGACATGAGAGAGCAGACTTGGCACGCTTGCAGTGGTCCCTTGTGTCCATAGACTCGAGTCCATGTTCTCTCAAGAAACCAAAACAGAAAGGAGATCTTGCTCACAGAGCCAACGAGCGAAGACACGTCTTATGCAGGTTCTTCTCAAGTGCTAGTAAATAAATAAATTCACTTCCAAAAGGGAACAAACAAAGTAAAACAGAAATCACAAGACTGTAGTAGCTTTGGCCTGAAACAGGACGCTACAGTACAAGACAGAAGACGCTGAACTCTTTCAACCCACAACTCCTTTCACTTGGGAGTTTTAATGTGATTCAAGATATACAGACATAAAAAGTAGGCATATAATCAAGTACGAACAACCAATTGAAATTTTATTTTTTAAATCCGTTGATATATACCAAGGTTGAGTAGTTCTCAACCTTCCTAACGCTGTGACTCTTTAATACAGTTCCTCCTGTTGTGGTGACCCCCCCCACCATAAAATCATTTTTATTGCTATCTCAGAACTGTATTTTTGCTACTGTTATGAAACATAATGTAAATATCTGTGCTTTTGGTGGTCTTCCGTGAGCCCCATGAAACGATCATTCAATCCTCCAAAGGGGCCATGACCCACAGGTTGAGAACCACTGACAGTGCTGCTGTTTATGTATTCATAAACAGTCCCTGTTAAAATCTGAATCTTACAGTTCTGGCTTTGTTTCTAGAGAAGTCTTCATTAGTGGTGAAACTATAAAGGAATCTAAAATGTGACAACCATAAAATTCAGGATATAGGATCACCTCTAGTTTAAGGGAAAAGGTTATTTTCTGGTAGGACCTAAAGGTCTGACTTATGTAGTATTTTTTAAAAAACTAAGTAGTGCTTATACGTGTGTATATATATAAATAAACAGCTCCTTTTAAATTATTTACACACTTTAGTTTTGTCCTTTTAATAGGTAAAAGTATGAGAATAATAAAGCATATACTTTTTTGTACTTTTGTAAAAATGAAATTCTTTATTTTGAAGAGATTGTTGACTAGTGGTTCATATCCATCAGTTTGCTCAGCTGTTAGCACCTGTCTCGTCACCAGGAGCCTTTCTGAACTACTGCCTTCACCATAAAGCTACTTGAGCATTCCCACTTCAGAGTTATTCTCCTGCAATTTCACTTTTCTAGCAAGAACATCATGAAAAGGCTATATTGGCATGCTTTCTTACTATCTGAAGGCACCTTATTAACCACTTTCTCTGAGTAATTTGTCTGTACCTCCCAGGTCATAATCTGCATCATCTCCAACAGGTCAATCAGACCTATCGGTGCAGAATGGAGGAGGTCTTGCATGTTGTTTGCAATTTTTAATAAAGCCAACATAGATCGGATGAAGCTAATGACCATTGGTTGTCTTGCTCTTGGCATGAGCCTTAGGCACTCTCTGCCTTTTTTTTTTTTTTTTTTTTTTTTTTTTTTTTTTTTTTTTTTTTTTTTGGCCATCTGACACATTCTGTCCTGGATAAGATCTGTGCTGTGGAAGCTAGATGGTTTCTCCCCTGAATTTTCTAAATGCAGCTCCATCATTCTGCAGAGCAGCAAGACTCGCTTCAAATACAGGGCCCTCGAGGCCATCAGATGTGTTTGCTTCCTTGAGTCCTTGTGACAAGTCCTTTCCAGTTCCGCTGTTGAACACAGTTGATGCTGTTACATCATTCCCATAATTGTGTCACTTTCTTCTTGGGTCCCTTTCTAATGCCTTTTGTGAGACGCTTGTTCTCGCCAACCACCATGGTGCTACTCAGAGAGCAAAGCGCATCCTAATATTTGTTGAGGATGAGAGTGAGC